TCTTTTTCTTTTCGCTGTATTGTTTTTATTTCAAAATATTGTCAAGTAGTAACGAATTTATTAATTTGACACCACCAGAAGTCGAAAAAGGTTACGCTAAGCCCCTCAATCTACGGATAGATACTTACAGTCAAGCGTATCTAAATTACATCTTATAGAAAACAAACAGAGGTGCAAATTCAGTTTCAGAAAATACATACGTAGGTAGTATTATTTCCTCGCAAATGTGTGCCGTTTTGTTCGCCAGTTCGGCCAAACGTCGTATGACATACGTGCGGTTTGATAATTACAGCCTCTGCCTTCTTATAGCCCTCACCTACGGCTCAGGCTAACAATATCGCCTCGGCTGTAATTCTCAACTTACCGCACTTATATCATAATGTACTGTTAAAACATCAGTAGGTAAATACATCTGTATTATCTTAATCTACGTGTTGATAATACTATTATACCTAACCTATCTTCACTTCCGTATCCGGTTGAGATTTAAATGTTGTAAAGATAAGAAACACTATCTACTCTTTTTCTCCGAAACGAACTTTTGGTAAAAAACGAAGCTTGAACGAAATTTCATTTCGTCAATGAAGATAACTACGTCAAACTATCAAAATCAATTTTAGGTTGTAGCCCAAGAAGCAGAGATCGCGGTTAAACTTGATCGTAAAACAAAATTTTACCACACTAGTTTTTTACAGATGTTAGGGTAGGTCATCAGAAGCTTAAGTACAGTAAAATAGCACTACCTTTCGGTGGGGAGGAGCTCGATGGCGCGGGTGGTCAGCGCTTTAGGCTGCGATCGTTGAAGTTAAGCAACTTTCGCAGTGGTCAGTCATTGGATGGGTGGCCAAAAATCTTCTATCTCGAGTTCCTCCGTGCTTCGGTAGGCACGTTAAGCCGTTGGTCCCGGCTGCATCTGCAGTCGTTAGCACCCGCCAATCCGCACTGGGCCCGCTTGGTGGGTCATGACCCAATCTCCCTATTCCATCCATAGGGAAGGCCTGTGCCCCAGCAGTGACGAAATTAACATGCTGATGATGATGATTTGGAGGCGACTAAAAAAATGGTCGTCTGTTGAAGTTTTTTTTGCTGCTTTAGACATTTGGCTTGACACTAAATAGATGCTAGAGGCTCAGGTATGGTGGGAGTACTTAACTAGGTGTAAGGTTGCCTCCTTATGCAGACCCGCACTTTGGACAAGTGCCCTGGGCCCCGCGATCGGTAGGGCCCCACCTCAGATCACAAATACAAAGTCCCTAGTTCCTGTTAGATCTCCAAACGGGGTAATACCCCATTATCCTAATATGCCCAAGGCCTCCAATAGGTCAAAGACTGCACTGTCCTTATGTTATTCTGCCGCGCTCGAGTAAATCCACTTGGGACATTAATAGGCCGATGATGTATGATGTTTCGGTGGTGTTGTGTTTCTGTCGGTGATTATTCACCATTCCAGGGTTCCACGTGGTAGGGGATTGGGTCAGGGTAGGCAACGGTACGAGTAATATGTTTAATATCGCAAGCGTCTATAGTCTATGGTGGCCGCTTACCATCAGGCTGTACTTTTCTACCTTTGCTTTAAAAGGGTTTTAACATAAAAAAAAGTAAAAATTTTGCTCCATCTCCAACTCTTTAAACGGACTTTTTGGCGGGATCGGGAAGCGTCAGTTTAGCAGTTGTGTTATTCTTGTTAAAAATTGTGTTGTGGCGGATGTTAGTGTCTAATAATGGTGGATTATTAATCACTAAGTGCTGGCAAGTGAAACGAAATAGCGGAAAGTGTCTTTCGACGTTCCCTCAAGAAGTCCACGGGGAGGTTCCAGTAAATCCCCACACATTTACTGAAACATAGGGGAAGGGGGATTGACTTGACTGCCACTTGCTTTGCCTTCATTTATTACTTTGACCACGAGTGCTATGGAATTTGTAAACATTTTTAACACTTGACATTGGCTAAATGCACAAGCCGTGCGAAGCCATTTAGAAAAGAAAGAAACAAAATGAAGTTTTATTTCAGTGTGATCTTCTTAAAGATTACTTCCCCAGAGGAGAAGGTAGGAAGAGGGGAAGGAGAGAAGAAAGAAGGAAGAAGGAGCTTTAATTCGAACCGAAACCCCGCTATGCCCTACCTATATAAAATTATGACTCTTGGCTTTATTATATGTTCTAAACAAGGGCGGATCCAGCTTTGGTGCCAGGGGGGGGGTCATATAGTCGTGGTCAAGTCGCAGTGGGTACAGATTGTGAAGTTCAGATTGTGAAGTGGGTACAGATGGACCCAGCCCAGGGGGGGGGGGGGGGGGTCATGACCCCCATGATCCGCCCTTGGTTCTAAACACAAGGAACCTGGTACTAATGGACCCCATCATGGACATTAACCCTACACTGCGCTCTAAAATGCCATACAATTTCGCGCTTACAAAAAATCCCAATTCAATTCCAATCCTTCTCCAAATGAGCGATTATAATGAACGAGCTCCTTTCAATCGTCCTCCTTAAGAAAAAGAATGAAATGAGAAAATGAAATCTTTACGCTGTAGTCGATTACTCCAGTAAGTACTTACACGGGTATGCAATAACTAATACCTACTGTGCGACCCAATGAATAGGTGATAAAAATAAAATTTACTACAGCGGTTACTACCCGGCCAACTACAGACAATGCTAAGTACAATAGCTACTGTAATACAGATTCGCCGTCACGCTTTGCAAATCAAACAATCAACGATAAATTTGTGTGAATGAATAACGTACTCTCAAGTCTGAGAAAATATAATAATATAAATAATAATAATAAATATTTACAACACTCACACCAATCAGCCTAGCCCCAAAGTAAGTACTGTAAGGCTTGTGTTATGAGATGTGCCAGGGTAACGGATAGAATACATTTACTGTACATATATAAGTATATTTATATAGAAAATACATATTAAACATCCATGACTGCGAGTACAAATGCTCGTATTCATCACACAAACATCTGCCCCCACCCGGGATTCGAACCTCCCTCTCGAGTCGGCGACACCATGAAACCCGGCGTACAAACCACTCGGCCACTAGGTCGTCGAGAATATGTAGGTATATAAATATCGAATATCTCATAATTATTAATGACTGAAGTCCTATCACAATACGATCACGAAATCAGTACTTACTAGGGTTGCCAGATGCTGGCTTATCAATTCCGGGACATTTGCACCACCCCCCCCCCCCTAAAAAAATTAAGCATCAAATCAAACCCCCCATCACCCCGGCCAGCGGTGTCATTCGTTATTACTGTATTTTGTTACGAAACTAGCACCTTATCGGTATCCGGGTCAATATGATCTAATTACGGACATGGAAACGGGACAAGACGCCAAAATTCTGGGACAATCCCGGATTTTCCGGCCATCTGGTATACCTAGTACTTACCTACACCAGTATCACTCCCATAGATACAGCTAAATAAGGGAAAATTTGTCATTGGTTACATCATAGGCCCACTCCAGATCACAAGATTTTTTGAGCAATGACCTCAAAGTGCATGTGTATATTATACGAACTGTTTCACAAAACTGAATAGAGTTACACGTAAGGACATTTCGCACTGGTTAAGATAAAATTGACGTTGGGTTTGTCGCAGTGCTCAACCATCATCATCAGCCTATTAACGTTCCCACTGCTGGGGCACAGGCCTTCTTTATGAATGAAATAAACGTCCGTGAGTCCGTGACCCACCACGCGTGCCTTACGCGGGTTGGTGAGTGCTATCGACTGCAGATGTAGCCGGGATATACACGGCTTACGTGGCTTCACAGTTACGGATTACGGAGGAGCTAGATATAATAAGTTATTGGTCACCCATACAACGTCCGGCCATTACGAAAGGAGCTTAACTTGCAAGATCGCATATCGAACGACTAACCACCTCAATGACTAACATTGATTAGCAATCCGAAGTGTCGCAACGCAAGCCCGATGATAAGTCAATAATCTAAAGCATAAAATACGTCCTTTTAAAAATACCCTCTCTCTTGATGCTTTTAAAGTTTTACTATCTGCTTTGAAATTTTGTCTAGAATACGTTTTACGTTTTTTATTAATAATAATATATTTTATTTGTTGTTTCAGTTGCTGCAGTAGAAGCCTTCCTTATTACATGTTATGCGTATTTGTACAACTGAGCAACTGCACTCGGTTTCCTTAATCAAGTTCGTCAGTATAGTTTTTTTTTACGCATTTTGCAAAGGATAATTTTCCTCCTTCTTTTAAAAAAAAAAGCTGGAAAAATATGTTGAATAATAAATTGGAAAGGCAGGAAAGTGAATTTGATTTTGCACTTGATGGAAATAAAAAAAAAGTTATCGAGTTTTTATCTTTTTTTTTAATATGCTACTACCCCACTTTATAATCTGTAACAAGTTCTCGTGAAAGTAAAATATCTACGTGATTGATTTGTATATCTACGAATGAAGACCTAACGATGAAAAACAGCAGCAAGAAACTCAGCCAGAATTAATGTTTATCCATTCATAGCCGTTACATTGAAAAAAATGACCTCAGTGTCATCATCCTTCCTCCTACAGAGCGGTGACTTTTTGCCAAAACTAAACTAAAATAGTTACATAAGTAAAATGAACCGGTATACCATCAGAACCGGTTTTATAAGACAGGTGTCTGTACGTAGTCTGGGCAAACCCCCGGCCGAACGACGCATGCGTTTTGCCGAAGTTATTTCCATTCATCTACGATTGGGCAGAAGCCCTTAACGATCTCCTCGACTACGTAACGGCCTGGTACCGCAACACAAAATCGATGCGAAGGAAATTACTTTCGACAAAAAAGAGCGTCGACGCGGTGACTCAATGTAAACGTATGAGAAAAGAATAACCAAACTTCCCAAATTAGACAATAATCAATCAGCGAATCAGTTCCACGCGCAAGGTCGCTGTTTCCATGCCGGCGTAAACATTACCCATTGTTCGTTACATAACCCGTCAGCTGAGCATCGTTAGACTCACCATGTCGTTGTTCTCTACGATCCAATTGATGGAGCATATCTGGTAGACGAGGTAGGCTCGCACCAGTTCGCTCGTCTTCTTGCTCTTGAAGGCATCCTTCGGGCTGTTGAAGGCGAGATCCAGGTCGTCGCGCACAGGCGGCGCCGGCGGGCCGGCAGACAGCACACGTACATTTCGCGGCGCGTTCACGGCCAAACGTCTGAGAAGAGCCATCACGAAGCTCTTAGCGACACGACGCACAGTCGCCCCTACACGCTCGCAACTGACAACTGACAGGCCGGCGAAGTGACGCTGACGTTCGCTCGATACCGGCGGCCGGCCGGCGCGCGCACCGTTCCAATTTTAAATCCTCGCGAAGGTGTGTCACAGCCGCGAGTCGCTATTGGCTTGCATAGGCCAGCGCTTAGGCTGAATGAGACATGACAAAAAAAAACTAAAACACGTTATGAATTATAAAAAATACTCTATTTGACCGACCGTTAATAAAATTCAGATGTCGCGACAGAGCATTGCAGTTTGCACTGACCACGTGGTCCCCCTAACCTCGATAATTGGTTGGTTGCATAACAACCCGGCCTCAACAACAGATCAGGTTCAAGTAAGGGTTCAAGCACCCGAGTTGACCCAGTAACGCTCTAAAGCGTGCCATTTTAACGAGCTGAATCGCAGGCCATTATCCAAGACAAATCGCTGGCCGTGCAAAAATTTGGATTAGATTAAAATCTTTTTTCAAATTTATCAATTGTTCCATCCATCCCATTCACAGACCTAATAATCACGAAACTACTTTATTCACAGTTTTCAACTTGTCTCATACCTACACGTTTGTATGCTTTTTCCAATACCATTCCATCAGAAAAGCGCACGCATTTAAAATATTAATTTATTCAAAGCCCGACTATCTCTGCTATTAATTGGTAATGAAAAAAGCCGCTATTTTTATCTATTGCAGGCCTTAAATATAAAGCAGAATTAGACCAGTTGCCAATAGGACCATCGGTTGATAGACAAAGTAGAACAAAAAGCGGCAGAAACTCACTTTCTATTCTCTATTTAAGCCGATTAGAATGATATTGTCGTTTTTCATAACCGGGATACCGTCCGGTCGTTGACTTCTATTCACTACTATAATGTGGTCACGATAATGTGTCATCTGTTCCATGGTAAAAAAGTACTTACGTAATATCACGCGAAATCCCTTTCAAGGCCAACATCAGTACACAGTGTTACAGACAAGATCAGTATATATGTGGTCAATAAAAATGATTCTCTCTCTCTCATATTGTTTTAAACTTTCATGGTCACTAACATTATAGATATTAACGGGATTAGAAGAAATAAAAATTTAGGGAGAAATATCGGAGACTCATAAAAAACAAGGTAGGTACATGGTAACAATACCGTTAATATCTATAAGATCAGTATAATTTAATCTCAAACATATAAATTTCGCTTTCATCATCGTTAGCCTATTGATGTCCCATATATGTACCGGAGCACAACACGAGCCTTCTCTATGGATGAAAAGGGATGACAAACTCACCACGTGATCCCAGTTGCATCTACAGATTTGTAATGACTGTAGATGCAGGCATGGACCATGCAGTGGTTAGGGCATTCGACGATCGTTGATGTTGAGAGAGATATATTATTTTAAGCATTTAACTGCAAGATGTTTCAATCTAAAGAAAATTTTATCATAAAAATATATATATATAATAAAAAAAATAAGAAAATACGTAGATTCTGGGACTGAAGTTAGTAGGTTTCCAGAAAAGGCCTAAAATACGTAGATCTACGTAAAAAGACGTAGAGTTGGCAACACTGACAATGCAGTCGTTAGCACCCACAAAATAGAGATTCTATTTCTATTTTGTTGGTAGATTTTCTTAATGTGCGGTAAACACAAAAGTAACAGCATGAAGTTGGTCGCTTTAGCTTAATTTTTTGTGTTACAGTGATGCGCGCGCATCTTAAAATTTCACTCTCATCATTTTTTCATAACGCGCCTAAAGAAGTATAACTTCAATATGTATCTATATGTAAAAACAGCAAATTAAATGCCAACGAATTCCAAATATTAGTCACCAACAGTGCAGTGGTTAGGGCATTCGGTTTGCAATCGTGAATGTTATGCAACTCTCGAAAGAAAATTTTACTAGAAAATATTCAGCGCGGACCAGGCAGCTGACGGGACTCGAACCCGCACCCTTCGCTATCCGGGCGGATGCACTGACCATTATTAAAGTTTTTGAGATGTTCTTGTTGTATGATTTCGTAACTATCTGTGAGATGGCGCTGTTTATTTTCTAACATGCTTAATACTGTTTCTCAGAGACTTTAATGTGATGTTTTTCAAGATTTTTCGCGGTACAAATTATTTCAATTTTTGACGTAAGTACTTGGTATCACTCGGATCTCAGTGTCAGCCAGGAGCAGTCCCAAATGGAAAGATAGAAATGTTTTGTACAGAACCCTTAGCACGAACCATTTTCGAATTCGAATAGTATGCGAATCCGAAATGTCATTGTCAAAATAATGTGTACTGATCTTTAGTTCTCGTTACGTCCGTAGTGGCGCTGCTGTTCAAGTTTCCATACAAAATCTAAAAATGACATTTCGCACTCGCAAACTATTCGAATTCGATAATGGTTTGTGCAGGGGTACTGTACCCCTAGCACGAACTGCTGAACGAAAATGTCAATGTCAAATTTTGTATGGAAACTTGAACAGCAGCGGCACAAAGTACGTAACGAAAACTAAAAATCATTACACATTTGACAGTGACATTTCGGACTCGCAAACGTTACGAATTCGATATTGGTTCGTGCTACTGTACGCCATAGTGAGGGCATTTCACTTTTTTTTCAATGATTGCATATCCATTGTTAGGGTCCCGTAGGATCTTTGATAGTTTGACTATCGATAGTTGACCTCTAAAAGCAGTCACAATATCGATAGCCAATAGTTTGCTATTGACGAAACCTAAAAAAATCGATCGTATCGATACTAATGAATTTAGATAAAATTGTATTGATAGTAATCAATATTATCTATAGTATTAATACCTACCTAGGTATAACACCCAAACGGGTGTTAGTTTTTTTTTATTGTGCCATCGCAATTGTTTTATGTTGGCAATAAGCTAACAGTTTCAGAATATTTAATAGCGGTTTTAAAGCATCATCAGTTGATAAATAAATATAAAAAAAATGAATTAGCTACTGTCGTGCGAATCCGGGGTGTTTGATAGTTTATGATATCTTAACATGAAATAAAAAAATATTAGAATATTTTTTTTTTACGTGACCGTTACGCCCTCCAAACCACCCCTGGACCTCTGAAATTTCTAACCTACGCTCCGAGTGCAACTTTTCAATCTGACTTTTAAATTTTCACATAAAATTTACGAAACCTTTGTCAAATTTGACATTTGTTGAATCTGAATCGAAGGTTTGGAACCATAGAGGTATAAGAATAGAGTATGCGAGATATGTACTCTACTAGTCCTAGTAGTGTCCGTCTAGTAGAAAGACAAAGAAGATGAGCGACGACGGCTAGCTATCTCTCTCTCTTGTGACGCTGCGCAGTCGTGTGATAGGTCGGTATTCATCCGTAGGTTTATCATTTTTCAGAGAAAGGCTAGCCGTCTCTCATCTTCTTTCTCTTTCTACTAGACGGACACTTTTAGAGCCGCCCTCCCCTCTATTCTTATACCTCTATGTCTGGAACGCAGCCCTGTGTATTTTGTGTAGGTACCACAGCCACGTGGGCATAAGACGGCGTGTGTAGAGAAGCATGTATGAGAAACAAAGCTTTATGTATGTTTATGTTGAATGTTATTTCGAAAATCTTTAGCTGAAGACCCGGCTATAGTAAACTATCAGGCACAATATTGCATCCATAAATCCAAAGACATAAAACTACGAATAATACATGTATTTTGCTACGGTTGCTACGAGATTTCGTAGCAATTACTAATACGTTGACCTCTGAATATGTTGTTTATTTACAAACAAAAATGGTTAAGTTAGATGAGCGACCACTGGTGGCGGTGGGTGGGTAACTAGATGGGCGACCACTGATGGCAGAGGGTGGGTAACTAGATGGGCGACCACTGATGGCGGAGGGTGGGTAACTAGATGGGCGACCACTGATGGCGGAGGGTGGGTAACTAGATGGGCGACCACTGATGGCGGAGGGTGGGTAACTAGATGGGCGACCACTGATGGCGGAGGTTGGGTAACTAGATGGGCGACCACTGATGGCGGAGGGTGGGTAACTAGATGGGCGACCACTGATGGCGGAGGTTGGGTAACTAGATGGGCGACCACTGATGGCGGAGGGTGGGTAACTAGATGGGCGACCACTGATGGCGGAGGGTGGGTAACTAGATGGGCGACCACTGATGGCGGAGGGTGGGTAACTAGATGGGCGACCACTGATGGCGGAGGGTGGGTAACTAGATGGGCGACCACTGATGGCGGAGGGTGGGTAACTAGATGGGCGACCACTGATGGCGGAGGGTGGGTAACTAGATGGGCGACCACTGATGGCGGAGGGTGGGTAACTAGATGGGCGACCACTGATGGCGGAGGGTGGGTAACTAGATGGGCGACCACTGATGGCGGAGGGTGGGTAACTAGATGGGCGACCACTGATGGCGGAGGGTGGGTAACTAGATGGGCGACCACTGATGGCGGAGGGTGGGTAACTAGATGGGCGACCACTGATGGCGGAGGTTGGGTAACTAGATGGGCGACCACTGATGGCGGAGGGTGGGTAACTAGATGGGCGACCACTGATGGCGGAGGTTGGGTAACTAGATGGGCGACCACTGATGGCGGAGGGTGGGTAACTAGATGGGCGACCACTGATGGCGGAGGTTGGGTAACTAGATGGGCGACCACTGATGGCGGTGGGAAGCTAGATGGGCGACCACTCTGATGGCTGTGGCCGTGGACTAAGGGGCTTGTGTCATGCCATGACATACCACGTGGGCTCAGTGCGTTGATGGGTAGGATTTTTTTTATGAAATAGGGAATTTGGGTCATGATGCACCACGCGGACCCAATGCGAAATGGCGTGTGGTATATAAAAATTTAAACTTCGCTCCAACCGAGTGATACACGACACTCATTTTTGCTTATTTTTCAGGCTCAGCCACATCCACAAACGAAACTTTGGCAAACAACAAAGTCTGTACTAGACTTTGTTGTGAGATTTGAACTGCCATTTCAACTTAACAGGAACA